AGCATCTGAGCATTCACATTGTCTATATGTGAATAAATAAAAACAGGAATAAGAAGAGGATCAGTAATGTTGTTGTTGTTGTTTTTTCTGTTAAGAGAAAGAGGAGGATCCAAGAAGAGACAGAACTTTGTGAAAAGAGAATTTTACTACTGCCATGGTAGCTGAAGCCTTTCTGAAATTAGCTGAGATCTCAAAAGGTTAATGTACGTGAATAACTGGTTAATGACAGGAGAATCTCTGGCTCAGCTTATTACTGCTGCTCCCCTGCCCCCATTTATTTAAGCCCAGTAGCTATCTGGTTAGTTCCTGCTCTATTTGCAAAATTCCAGGTTGAGATATCAGGTAAATCCCCTTTTATTTGCTGATGAGTTTATTTACCTCAAGTAGATCTTTCATTCTTCTATTGGTTCTTTGATGTATAAATATTTGCCTCCCCCTCATGCCCTCCACAAAAATTTCAATTGTCTCTATCAGGAATGGACCTCACATAGAATTTTTAATGTATCTATATTTGCCTTTCAAAACTTTCCACTTTAGTTCCAATTCAGAATGATAAATGTCTCTTCCCATTTCATTTAACATGACTTTGAAAAGATTTCACCACATTAAAAAAGTAGAAAGAAATATATTGACTTATTGACTTCTATGAAGAGACAAATTTAAAACACACAACAACTTCATATGAATGGTAGTTTGGAGCTAGAAAACAATTATACTGCTGGGAACTTGAGTTTAAATAATGAATTCTGATAATATCAAAGCTTCTGAGATGACACCCCAAGGCTAAAAAGATGGCTGTGTATTTATGTGTGTGTGTTTTTAAAGAGAAGTTATTTGTGATTACTTTCTTAATTACTTAAGCTTTCTATACAGTACAGACCAAAAAGGTATTCTGACTTCAGCGTTGTGATTATGTGTGGACTGAAAATGTCTGTTCTGGGATCCCTGAGACCTACAGGAAGGTCATCAAATTTTATTCATCAACAGAGGAAACGAAACTCTCTGGGCAAGGCTATTTCGTTAAATTGTATTTATCACTGAGCTTGTTGATAACAAACACAAATGAGATATAAAAAGATACTTAAAGAACAGGCCTTGGGGAGCTTTAACCTTGCTTTAAAGTCCTGTTCATCTTTTGTTTCATCAGTGATTCATACTTCCTTGTTTTCTTTTCTTGGGGCTTCATGCAGCTCTCTCTAGACATGGTTTGAAGCAGCTAGAGTACATTATCTGTTGAAACAGTTATGTGCTGGCCTTTCACAAATACTGTGTGAACAATTTTCTCTTCTATTTCCATGGTGTAGGGGAGCTGTGGGTACTTTCTCTGCTTGATTTATTTTATACACATCATCATATATACTGCCTCTCCAGAGCTACATCTTACACTTGGCTACTGCAAAGGACTTCCTCAATCAACTGGCTCATAAAGGGGGAGCAGTAGCTCTCCCAACACAATAGCAACAAACTGAGCAGCTACCTGTGCAGGTGGAAGTGACCTGAGCTTCAACTCCAGTTTGGCTCAGCTCAACAATATCCCAAACTACTAGCATAAGAAGTACAAGAATGGCTTCCCCGGGGGGGAGAGTTTTAGAAGTATCACTCCTTGGAACAAGCCTCTCAAGACTCCATGAAGCAGCTTAGATTCACGTTGGGGTTGGAAGAAAAGTGAACAGAATAAAAATACATTTAGTGCTGTGATGTACTAATTATTTTCTAAATGGCTTTGCCACTGTGCGCAAAATTTGAGAGAAAAAGCTCTTATTGAATCCATTTGTACTAGAGATCAGAGGTGGTTCTGCCTTTGTTCCAAAGCATTATTGCATGTAATCTTAGTAATCATACAAAACTTTGCATAGCCTTTCCAACTTGCTGAACTAGCTCAGACTCCATGACACTTTTCTTTTCATTTTTCAGTAGTAAGAATGCACTGGGAAACATGAATATGACTTTAAGGTGTATTGAGCTCTAAACCAGATCAACCTTATCATTTATCATTAGTTTCCTGCACAGCTAGACAATGCAGAGTTCAGTATTTTGCAAAAATTTTCTTTAGGCAGTTATAAAAAAATTTCATCTCTGTCTAAAATTAATGGAAGTATAAGGTGTGTGTGTGTGTGTGTGTGTGTGTGTGTAGGAGGGGGTGGTGAGGGGAGGAGGAAAAGAGAGTCTGATAGACATGGGAGAAAAATTAATACTGAAATGTCAGACATGATGGAGATAAAGTATTTTCCCAACATTGTGAGTGGTTATACATTGAAAGGCAGTATGGTATAATGGAAAGGATACAGGGTTTTCGGTCTCAGGCTACCTGGTTTCAAATTCTGTCTTTTGTATAAACTAGATGTGTGACCATGGACAAGTCATTTAACTCCTGTGAACCTTAGTTTGCCTAATCAGCTAAGATGGCGCTGCAGTGGCTAGAGGACTGCCCTGGAATCAAGAAGACCTGAGTTCAAATCTGGCCTCAGACATATAGTGGCTTTGTGACTCTGAGTAAGTCACTTAACCTCTGTTTGTTTCAGTTTCTTCAGCCAAAAATGGGGATACTATCAGCACTTACCTCCTAGGGTTGTTGTGAGGCTCAGATAAGATAATATTTGTAAAGTATGGTACCTGGAACATAGTAGGTGCTTAATACAAGTTTGTTTGCTTTGTTCCCATCTCTGGAAAGTAATAATTTAACCTGTGGGATTGTAAATTTAGAGGTCCAGTAGTCTAATCCTGTCATGTTACAGATGAGGAAATGAAGGCCCAAATAAGTGAAATGACTTTGCTCAAGGTCACATAGATAACTGGGATTCAAATCCAGCTTGACAGACTCTAGCAGAGAACCTCTTCCCCCACAGCACACAGCCTCTAAACAAGTCTTTATGACATTGACTGTGTTTGGAAAAAATTCTGTGCATATCACATAGGAGTATGTGCGTATGTATATACCCCAGCTTCCAGCAGTACTAGAGGGGTAGAGGTGGGAATATGGGGTAGGGTGGGGTGGGGGGTAATGTATTGGGAAAACTTTGCTGACTGAAGGAAGGTATCTTTGCACTAACCCTCCCAGAAGTCTGTGTGTCAGCTCTGCAATATGGAAACATTATATATGTACTTGGATATCAGTTATTACTACTCTCCAAGTGAGTATCATTTTTTTACTTAACAACTGATATTACCTGGGTAATGTGTGCTTGCAGCATGCATAATATTAAAAGACTATAGAAGATTCACGAGGCTAGACTGCATGAGTGGGGAACCTCCGGCCTCACGTGCAGCCCTTTGACTGAATCCAAACTTCATAGAACAAATCCTCTTAATAAAAGCATTTGTTTTGTAAAACTTGGAGTCAGTCAAAAAGCTGCACCCAAGGACCTAGAAGGCCACATGAGTCCTTGAGGCCACAGGTTCCCACCTCCGGAGAGCAAGAAGGATAGCTATCATTGTGGAAATATGAGATCCATGCTCAGACATGCTTCTCCATCAATATTCGTTTTAATTTGGGTTAGTGCAAAGGTTCTTAAATGTTTGTATATCATGGAACCCTGAAGCGGGTTGGCAAAGCCTATGGACTACTTCTCATAATGTTTTCAAATACATAAAATCCATAAGATTACATTGGAAATTAATCATACCAAAATACAGTTAGGAAAACAGATATTTTTAAGTTATTAGACCCCAGGTTAAGAAACTCTAAAGTTTAAAGAAAATACCTAGAGTGATCAAACTTCCCCACAAAGTGGTTGTCAGGATTAAACAAGTTAATGTAGAGAATGCACTTATATTACAAACCTTAAGATGCTTAAAAAATATCAGTTATTATTCCTCTCCATGTGATCATATCGTTTTTATATAACAACTTATATTACTCGGGTAATGTATTAAAAATTCATAGGTAGTTATTATTTCTCTATCATACATACTTTCTCTTCCTTAATTTATACTTCATTTTTCTATTCCAACATTCAGAGAGTAAATACTTTATCAATCAAGTGGAGACCCAAAAAAGAGTGTTGAGAGACATTCATTCCTCTGGGAATTTTTCAAAGGTTTACAGCAAGGGATAGATTAAATCCTTGAAGGAAAGGGTAATTAAAAACAAAACAACTTACATACAATTTTAATTGCAGTTTATGAATTGCAGTTCTTGATAGTAAAGTGGACATCACAAGAGTTGTTTAATCATGAAGTTGGACTTAGTTTATATCACTTTTAACTCTGTGCTTGGAAAACTATCTCAATAGAATTTAGGGTCTACTTGTTAGGTATGTGTTTAAACTACCACTGGTAGTCAAGCAAGATTGAGTTAGACCCTTTGCCACTTCTTAATGAGAATCTCTCTCTCTCTCTCTCTCTCTTTCTCTCTTTCTCTCTCTCTCTCTGTCTCTGTCTCTGTCTCTCTCTGTCTCTCTCTCTCTCTTTCTCCTCCCCCCTCTCTCATATTTTTTTTCTTACTTTTAATGAAAGGAAATGTTGGCTTAATTCATGAGGATAGCATCTGTGACTTTTTTGGGGGAAGCATTAAGGATTATTAGCTCAGCCAGACTTCTCTCTCACTGGTACGCTTATTTCTACAGATGGGACTTAATTGCTCTTTAAATATGCCTAGCACTTAACGTCTCTACAATATTGCCCACTAGCCATTTGGCACTTCTGCTATCTTTTCCATACTTAAAACTTGTCAATTATGTTGTGAAAACATTTTTTGTTGTTGTTGTTGCTGTTCTGCTATTCTTAGTTGGTCATAGGGAAAGAATATAATCTATATTTTGTTCCTGAGGTAGTATAAATGAAGCTCTAAGCACTTACTTTCTTTGAAAAAGGGTAAATAAGGGGATATATATTTATAAACAACCCAAGTCTTAGTTCATGGAAAGAACAATCTTATTATAAAAATACTAGAGGTAAAAAGTCTATTTGAAAGTTTACTGAGGCTATTTTCCATCTAGGGAAAATTTTAAGTTATGAGTTCCATTGTGTCAAGGACAGACCAGTCTTTTCCAGACACTTACCCTCTGACAGCATGAATAAGTCTCAGTGATGGATAGGCAGTTCTCACTTTCAATTTATTCTTAAGGATTAATGCATTAACCCACTCCACATGCTTCTCTCCTCCTTTGACCATGAAAGCAGGAATCCAAAGGACACTGTCATTCAGCATAGATAGTCTATGCACAAATTTTTCTCTGTCACTCTCATTCCGAAAGCCTCCAAATGCTCTTTGTACAACTGATGGATTCATGGTAATAAAATCAGATTTAGTTCCCACATCTGCAGCAAACTCCAACACAGGAGCTAGATTGCACCTGAAGAGGAAGAAATTAATGGACAAATGAAAAATAAATATAAAACATTCACTCATATAAGGGTGTGCATGAAAAGAAGCACTGAAAATGAACATACAAAGCTGTTTCATACCAGGTGAAGAAAAAAATACTAGTGGTACCCAGCATGGTAATACATAGTGTTTTAATAAACCTCAGTCACACCATTTACTTTTTCAAAGGTCCTAAAGATGACTAGTTAACTACTATTTTAAAAATTAATTTCTTAGATGAGAATCTGTGTCCAGAAAATAAGTATTAAAATGCCACTCATTACTTCCATTTAACTTACTATCCAGTGATACTTTTGACTCACGCATTAACAAAACCTTAACGCCTATCATCATTTGAGCTGCAAGATCTCGAACCAATAAGGACTCTTTTCTCATTTTTGGAAAATAGGCAACCTGAATTACATGCTATACTATATAGAATACACTATTCCTTCCCAGGTCAGTCAATTGTATGATTTAAATTAAACATTTTTATGAAAACAATTTTGTACAACTAGAGTTTAAGGGGAAAAAGCAGTTTCAAGCAACATAGTAATCCACAAAGGTTTTCTATAAGCCTGGTGTGGCAGATTTTGAGAAGGTTGTAGAAATGAGATAAACTAGAGATATCAAAATAATATATATTGCTTTGAGATTTTAAGTAGCAGGGGATTTTTTTTAATAGCATACACCTTAGGGCACCTTATTTATCAAAGACCTAAGTCAGGGACTTGCTTTTTGGTTGATAACACTTACAAGAAAGGAAACATCAATACATATCTTGAAAGTGTTATTTCAAACAGGGAACTGAAATAACTCTGATCCTATAACAGAAACCCTTGGTGGCTAAGATTTAAATCACGGTTAGTTGATTATGAAATCTAAAATATTTTAAAGGAACTTTTCTTTTAGGAAAAAGTGTTTAAATACAATTCAACTCACTCTAACATAAAGTTCACATATGTTATTTTTAGAATGATGAATGAAATAACATGATTGTCCTTTCTAATTTCTGAAGTATTTCTGCATATTAATATCTCTGGCTCACTTTTTTTCTTATGCATTTCATTGCATTAAATACATTCTCAAAACACTCAAAGTTCACATAAAAATGAAGTGTATACTGGGCTGGTAAAGTATCTGAATATGTGTCTTCAAGTTCATTAATGTTCTGACATAAATTTTTTTTCAGATCTGTATAAAGACAAAACTAATTTCCCATTCTTCCTTTCATACCTAAATAAGTAAAGACTATGATATCTAGTCAGACACTGAAGAAAAGAAGCACAAATTATTACATGTTACTATTCATCTCTCTCTCTATATATTATATTATATAAATGTACACATACACATATATATATACATATATTATATACACACACACGTACACACACACACACACACACACACACACACACACACATATATAATGTGACCTCTTGCTTCCATGAAGTTTACACTTTGCTCCTGCAAATCCTAACCTACAGTTCAATTTCTCATTGCAGCATCAATCTGGCAAAAAGAAAGCTACTGGAAAAGAACAGTCTACCAATGACAGAGAAAGGATATAAAATCACTTTATTCCTCTGAATAATGAGGGCTTTAAAAAGAGAATTCTTCAATAATCAGGAAAAAATGTCAAAGCCTGATCCAAGTTGATTATTTCAGGCACTTAAGGAGAGTGCACATCATTATAAATATATCTTCTTCCACTGAGAAAAAAAATAAAAAACTTGTTAACATTTCAGTTATGTGCACATGTCAGGAAAACATCCCGTTGCCTTCTTTTTGTTTTAATAGAAATCCAGTAATTCCATTTCACAAGATTTCCACTCTGGAAACATAGTATTTGTACTGCATTTCCTCTATAACTATACAAAGAGTCAATAAAATATAATCTCCCATGTTTTATCATTTGCTTTGCCATTATCCATTCATTTACTTCTTGTCCTTCGGTATTCTTTCATTATTTCATATTTAAAAGGTCTTTGAGTTATAGTTTTATTCACTTGCCTCCCAAAGTGCAATGATATTGTTGATTCAGTGTGAGAATGTCTCTGAAAAGTAGACAAGGAATGCAGCATTTTAGGACTGTGAGATTTTAAAGTGATAGGGTTCTATATTGGAAAACATTAAATAAACTAATATTTTCCTGAAAGTAGAGATAACATGACATAATGGAAAGACCAAGGAACTGGAAGTCATTCTGCCAGGAATTAGCTGTATGACTTTGGCCAAGCCATTTTGTCACTTTGTTTTAATTTTTTTTTTATCTTTAAAATGATATCCTATGATTCAGTGATTGAAGATAAATGTGACAGAGATAATTTACAGTATTGAGGTGAGGGAGTAGACATTAAACTGGTTTTATTCTCAGACACCATGTACCATCTGTCCTCCTCCACTCCTTCCACCTCCCAAAAGGCCATTGATCAAATAAGATATGTAAGTTCCTACCATATGCAGAAAAATAAGCTAAGCATTGTAAAGGATTGACAATAGACTTCCGTTATTGCTAAGTTGTTTTTCAGTCATGTCTACCTCTTTGTGACCCTATTTGGGACGTTCTTGGCAGAGATATTGGAGTAGGTTCTTATAAAGGAGAAACTGAGGCAACCAGAGTTAAGTGACTTGCCCAGGGTCACACAGCTAATAAGTGTCTGAGGCTAGCTTTGAAGTCACAAAGAAGAGTCTTTCTGCCTCCAGGCCCTGCATTCTATTCATTGCACCACCTACCTGCTCCTAAGATATTTTCCTAGTGTTTAAATAGTTAACACTCAGAAGACATAGCTAAGACTCAGAAGAAAATAATATTTAGCTGGCTAATGCTATTTGGTAGAACACAAAAGTAATTCCAAGAAAGGATCTAGCTATGTATGCTTTATGGAGAAAATTTGATAAAGTCTGAATTGTAGGATTTGAAGAAGAAAATGGTATGAACAATGGCACAATCATAATGCATGTGATAATAGCTAGAAAGATGTATTATCATGAGTGTTTATTATTATTATTTTACTATTAAAAACCTGGAAGATTTTTTTAATGTTTTCTTTGAACTTAAAGTTTAAGGTCACATCAACATATGCCCCCTAAATTACTGATTCTGTGGTTGAGTCAAGTTTTTCAGTCATATTAATAGCTAGTTGACTGCCATACAATTAATCAGAGCAGTCATTAAGACAGCAAAAATAACCAGACCAGCTGTGTTGCACTCCAGTGGTCTTAGTCAGGTTTGTAGCAGCAATATGAAATTCAACACAACAAGCAAGCAAATGAACTGGTATGAAAGACTGTGAGTAGACTTATAATCATAAATTTCTTCTTTTTTTCCTTGAAAGGCATAACATTCAAATACTGGTAGTAGCCAGCATATGCCTCAGGCACTTATGTAGAAAAGCAAATGTGCTTCAAATGTTGCCCTCAATCCCATAAAATTAGAGAGCAATCTGGAAAAAAATATTCTAATGTCCTATGATTGGCAATGAAGTATGCTAGACTTAGAGCAACACTTAGTGGGATTTTATGCCAAATTCTGTACAGTCCAACTATCCTTGTGCTTGACATACAAACTCTGTCTTGTTCTCTCTCTCTCTCTGTCTTTCTGTCTCTCTGTCCATATATATATATATATATATATATATATATAATGTATATATACATATATACACACACACAGAGACACACACATGTGTTTGTATATATATACATATGTATATGTGTATGTGTGTATACACAGAAACATGTACATATATAAACATCTATATTTCAAAAGAGAAGCAAATGTTTATATCTTCTGCAAAGTGATTGTAAATATTCAACATTCTAACTGATTAAGATATCTTTTTTCTTACAAGTTTCACAAACATATATTACTCATATCAAACACATATAACACTATATTCAATGCTCAGGATTATATTAGGCATTTAGGATTCTATGAGATGCTCTATATAAATATGGCCAAGTTGTTTAATGGCATTTTGATCATTGTTTTCTATTATTGCATACACACGTACACCTTTATTGTTTTTGAGATTAATCCAACTGTATAAACCAAAAGAAAAAAAAGCTTGTTGTATGCAGTGGGTTTTATATCAGTAGAGGTCTTCAAACAGATAAAATGTTCATTTTGCTGATAATGTTATAGGAAAGCTTAGCAGGGGTTGGATTAGAGGCTCTCTAAGGTCCCTTCAAATTCTAAGATCCTGTGAGTGTGTGATACAATATAATAGCTATTTTCACTGTGGTATATATTTTAACTAGCAGGAGTAATTAACATTATTTTGGTTTTATCTAAAACAAAACATAAATGAAGATTTTATTGACAGCAAGCCCAGGGCTGTGAAATTTCCTTCACAGGTTGCTATGACAGACCTGATACTGGAATAATCAGAAAGATGTGGATCCCATCTGTTTATCTATTTGTAATGGAAAATGTATTTAGTTGACAACTCATTTCTGTTTGGATAACAGCAGTCACCCTCATCTGACCCATTGCCAATTTATCGTTTTCTTCCATCCAATTCAGATGCTAATGCTGCTTCTGTTACCTCTTTAAAAAGAAAATTATATAAACAGCTAAATTTATTAATTTATACAGTCCTAAAGCATTTCACAATATTGATATTCAATAGCAAAATTAAAGTTAAACTTCAAACTTAATGCAAGCATTTTTAATTAGTGAGAAGAGGAACCAATGTATTGTGGAGCTGGAGCTGGATTTGTAACCCAGAAGACCTAAGTTTAAGTCTTGCCTTTGAGAGATTCTGGCTTTTTGACCTTCTGTAAGTTCAGAAATAATTTCATTTACCTAATACCATCCCAATGAGAAAGGTAAAGAAGAAAGTACTCATTTTGCAATTTTAACTAAAGGAATCAGAGAATGAATAGATGGACTCACTGAGGAATCAAATAGGAAGGATTTTAAGTTCAATAAGGGACCCAAACAATTTGTAATAAACCCACTACAAAAGGAATAAATTAATG